GTGGTTCTGGTGACTATAGTGTCTCTTTAAAAATAGTTGTTTTTTTGGAAACCCTGGCTCCTAGATCGCAAACAAATTTGTCAAACCCTGCAACAAGCAGGTTTGCACATTGAGGGATTGAGTTGGTGGAGAAGCAAAGCGGAGACTCTGAGAGGAACACAATAAAGGAAGGAACTGTTTGGACCAGGCTGGCCTGTTCTGGCTGCTGCAGAGAAGGAAAGAATCTGCCTCAAGGAACATGACAAGAGCAAGGAAGGCAGGTTGAGCTGTGGATGGAGACATGGATGAAATTTCACTTTTCCTTATAATGTTAAAATTCCTAATTGTGTGTGAAATGAAACACCATTCTTATTCTCATAGCTGGAAAAGTATATTCAAAATGCCGAAACTATTTAAGGAAAAGAAATCATCAAGGGCAGTGTTCAGACAAAGACGAGCAGAAAAAGAGAAAGCTGGGAAGCGGATGTCTGAAGCTTTAAAGGAGTACTTGACTTCTCACAAAAGGAGAAAGCAAGATACTGCTGCATCAGAACCAGTTTCCAATGTTGCAAGCAAACCTGTACAAATCGATATTGATGAATCTTTAATATCATCATTCAAACAGCCCATCACAGTCCAAGAGTCCAAGAGTCTGTAAATGTAGATGATGCAAATACTGGAAAAATACCAGAACAACAAGATGATGCGCAACTGTCCACATCATCACACTCTGTCTACCTTGAGAAGACTATTGACACAGAAAGATCAAATGACGACGAAGAAGAAGAAGAAGAAAGAGAGGAACTGGAGCAGGAGGAACAATCTACTTCTTTGGCAATACTGGATTTGTCTGATCCAGCTAATTGGCCAGCTGTTCTCACCACCTCACTTGTCAGGAAAGGTCCTGCAAAGCAAAAAAATAATTTCATTTTCCCCAAAGATGAAGTGAATAGACGTTTCACTAAAGCAAATTACAAGCGACGGCTGCCAAACGGAGAAGAAACCTTTAGAAACTGGTTGGTTTATTCTGTCAAATTGAACAAAGTATTTTGTTTTTGTTGTAAGCTATTTGCAACTAAAGTCACTACAAGTTTGACACGTGGAGGTTATGATGACTGGAAAAACTTATCTCAAAATCTTTCCATTCATGAAAAGTCTAACTCTCATCTTGTCGCTGTAAGAGACTGGAATGAACTCTCGAGAAGATTTGGTTGTGGAAAAACGATAGATGCAGCTTCCCAGAGATTGTTGGCAACTGAAACACATTGGCAAGATGTTAAGCGCCTTATAGGCATAGTAAAATATCTTGGTCGCCAGTGCTTGGCTTTCCGAGGCAGCAGAGATACGTTATACAGTGAAAATAATGGGAATTATCTGCAACTTCGACACCATTATGCAGGAACATCTGAAAATACATTTTCCAACATTATTTACGGAAAGACATTCAAAACGAACTCATCAGCCTTATAGCGAAAGAAATCACAAAACACATTCTGCAGTTGTTGAAAAATGCAAAGTATTATTCTATAATACTTGATTGCACACCAGACATTACATTAATTGAACAAATGACTATAATTGTTCGATTTGTGTCCATCAAGGAAGGCAAGTTTCCAACTGCTGAAACAGAGATCTGTATAGAAGAAAAAATTCTAGGTTTTATCCAATTCCAAAGATCCACTGAACTTGAAAAATGTAAGATCCCAGTTGGTGATATGAGAGGACAAGGATACAATAATGGATCCAATATGAAGGGCAAACATCAAGGTGTTCAGAAAAGAATCCTGGATTTAAACTTGCGTGCCTTTTATATTCCCTGCAGCGCTCATACATTAAATCTAGTTGTGAATGGTGCAGCCATGTCATGCAGGGATGCTGCAACCTTCTTTTCTATTGTACAGAAAATCTATGTGTTTTTGTCAGGATCCACAGTTCGATGGAATGTCTTGAAGAAGCACATTGGCAGACTTACGCTAAAACCTTTGTCTGACACCAGATGGTCTTTGAGAATAGATGCTATTCGACCATTTAGGTTCCAGGTTGGAGAAATTTTTTATGCTCTCTCTGAAATTTCACGGCAATGGCACAGTCTGATGCTGAATCGCTTTCAAAAAAACTGAATAACTTTACATTTTTGTGTCTTATTGTGTTGTGGTACAACATCTTAAATAGAATAAACTTTGTTAGCAAACTTCTCCAAAGTAGAAGTATGTATCTTCCAGATGTTATAGATATTCTGGAATCCACAACCACTTTTTTGACTAATTAAGAAAAAGAGGATGCTTTGTTATGAAACACCGGATGATCCGATTTGTGATCCTGCAAAAAAAATTAAAATTGAGTGCTTTTACAGCATTTTGGATGCATGTATTAATTCTCTTGATGAGAGATTTGAGCAAATTAAGCACCACAGCAAGCACTTCCAGTTTCTTTATAATACACAAAAACTTAAAGATGTACCAAGGGAAGCAGTTATGGAGTACTGTATAGACTTGTAGAATCTTTTGACTGATGATAAATCAGGAGATGCTGATCTGGATGGAGCACAACTTTGTGAGGAACTTACAATATTGGCTCATATCTTGAGGCCTACAATGACACCCAGTCAGATTCTAGCGTATGCACTTAAAAATGGTTTTACTCCCAATGTGTCTATTGCACTTCGCATATTGTTGACATTGCCGATATCTGTTGCCTCTGGGGAGCGAAGCTTTTCAAAGCTGAAGTTAATAAAGAATTATCTTTGGTCCTCTATGTCTCGAGAGATTGGTGGGACTTGCAATGATTTCCATTGAAAATCAGATTTCAAAAGATATTGACTTTAAAACTCTGCTTCATGATTTTGTAAATGCGAAAGCAAGAAGGGTTAAGTTTTTGTAGGCTACCATTCTCACTTTGTTTGTGTGCAATATCTGTTAAAGCACTTTGCACTTTAAGTGAATTTGCACTTGCAGAAACCTAAAGCGTACAGTTTTATTCATTGTATAAAAGTTATTTATAGTAGTTATTTTAATTTTGAAGCACCTTGATGCTACGTCATGCAGATTGAGTAATAGTTACTGCAGTTTACATGCACTTGAATTCATTGTTATTTATTTTTGTTCTGTTTTATAATTTTTGTTTTGTTGAATAAATTTGTTCTTTCTATTTCGCCTGGGTAGACAAAATTCCTTGCACCGGCCCTGCGAGGTGTAACAAGGTTCATTTATAAAAGTGCCAATTTCTTTACTTTTATGACATGAAAAAAAGAGAACACTTCAATATGTAGTTTTGTTAGTGTCGTGTAAGGACAAAATACAGTGAAATCTTTTAAAATTATGTTTTAGACAGAGAAAAAAAAATCAGATTTTTTTTTATGAAGCCATATCCTACCTGTGTTTTCAATTACAAGCAGTAACCTTGTATGTCCTTATTGCTTAAACAAATTATCCATTGCTTTCTCGAAGATATGAGTTGTATCTGCCAACACAATCTTTCTGTAATAAATTCCACATCTTTATTATCCTTTATTTTAAAGAGCATGCACCTTTATGTAGGGTAAAATATGCTGCCCTACAACCTCTTAGAATAACCTGGAATCATCTGTTAAAGGACTTGGAAATCATCCCAAGAGAATTGCATGTTTTGATATTCATTATATCTTTTTAAGGTAATACTAACTTATAGAAGACAATACTTTTAATTCTAGATTCAAAAACATTTATGAAAAATAAAAAAGACAATAAGCACTAAAGTACGCCGTTTGCAACATTAATTTAGAGTACGTGTTTCATTTCTTAAAGCTGTCTTTCAAAATATTCTTCTATCTGAGAACTATGTGCTGATTAAACAAACCCTGTGCATCAATGACTAAAATAAAAAAATGAGGGAAGCGGCAGTGCGCTTCCTTTCTGCCGGTCAGCCTGACATTGCACCCCCAGGGCTGGTGCGCCCAAAGGCAGCAGCCTGAACCGCCTTATGGTAACGCCGGCCCTGTGTGGACGGCAATGGTAGGCTCAAAGAGCTGTTCACCCCCCTGCCAACCCAGAACTCATACACTATCACTGCTACCCAAGGTTGAATGGATACACTCTTAATGACATGGAATTATATTTTAAACATTATCTGTGCATACCTTGCAAATATCAGATAGACAAATATGCATTTTAGGGTTGTGGCTAAGGGTGTGGCTAGGGGCAGGGCTGTTCTGAGACATTTTAGGTGACTTACTAATAAGAGTGTATGAAATTAAAATACAATTTAGAAAAAGTACAATGTATCTTATATACACAGACTGATTTCTAAACACATATATTGTAATTTAAAGATACATTACTGGGAGTAGTATTTCAGCTGAGCTCTGTTCTGCCAAAAATATGGTACTCCTAAAAAAGAAAAGAGGGTCAAAGTAGGGACCGTTTTTATAATATGTAATATGCTGAGGCTTTTGTTCTCCTCTGCTGGTCCATTCAGGGCTAGGCCAATCCAAGCGCTGGCCCTGCTGGGTGCCTTCATGGACCTGAGGGGAGTTTAGAGATCTCCCTCAACGACCCACAGGCACTATGCTGGGACCCGGGAGTTCTAGCTGGGTTCTCCTCTCGCGAGTTTAGAGCATTACCGCAGTTACCATGACAATGCTCTGGATCTTACCAGAGTGAACTCTAGCCAGGAGCTGCATGCTAGAGTTCACTCCCCACTACGACTGCCAGGGATTACATGCAATGTTCCCTCTCCCTGTCAATGTTGGCACATAACTAACAGGTACATTTACTTATTAACAAACTCAAATCTATTAAAACATGTGTTATATGTCTTACTTAAATTGGTTTATATCTAAGTAACACACAATCACAATGTTATTAAAATTAAATATTTGTGATGGGGGTTCACCTATGGCAGTTTAAAGAGCTGGGGCAGTCAGTGCTGTGTTTCTAAAGCTTTCTTTCAAAGTGTGGAGAGACAGGTTACCTGGTTTATGCCACTGCTCTCATAGGAGATACTTGTGCAATCAACCATCTGCTTAAGAGTAACTGTGAGGACTGCACCTGAATTTGGGAAACGGCCTGTATCCCTCTGAGGGGCAACTTCCAACTACATGGAACTGATGGTGGTTTCCGAGGCCTTGCATCACCTAAAGTCATAAATCTGACACCACTGGGTAAAACTGAAAGTGGACAACACTGCAGTGGTGTGGTCAGTCCGAGGATGATGAGTATCATGATTCCCCTCATAAAATGGACAGGAAAACCCCCTTATGGGGCTATATGTGATATATCTTCCAGGTTCTGTGAACATCAAGGTGGAATCCTTGAGCAGACACTTTGGCAAGAGAATGGTGTCTAGCAAAATGGGCCTTTCGGATGTTGGTTCATAGTTGGGGTCCTCCGGAGGTCGACATGATGGCCAACTTCCAGAACAGAGGTTCTTCTCCAGGGAGCATCATCCCCTAGTGGAAGGCTGGGATGCCCTCAGCTATTCCTGAAATTTTTGGATGGGTTATGTGTTTCCACCTCGTCCCCTTATCTTCCTACTGAGGAGAATTCCAAAGAAACGAGTGGTGTTCATAGCAGTTCTAACGTATTGGCCATGGAGACCCTAGTTCCCACTGTTATTGAAAGCCCACTTCATCTGGCAGTGAGTAAGGACCTGCTATCTCAGAGTTCTATGCTCAAACCTGTTCTGCAAACCCTCCAGCTGATGACATGAAGCCTGAAAGGAGGTTATTGTAGTAGAAGACATGTCCCACCAAAACCCCCACCTCCTGTACAAAAACTGTGAACACTATGGACTAACTCTCTAGTCCATGTCTCCCATCCCACTGCTGCCACCAAGATGTAGCGGTACACCCATGACCAGATTAGTTACTACTGCCTAGGTTATCCCTTCCCAGTGTGTATAGCTCCAGAATGATTATGCTCTCCTGCAAAATGTACCACTGTCTCACCCAAACACTAGCCGAGACTTAGTGAAAGTTGAAGTAGAACTGTTTTTATTGAGCAATGCACATAGATTTATATCCAAAACCCCAGCATTCATTGTAACATAAGCGCGCCTAGGCATCTCTATGTCTGGGAGATAATTGAGTTAGCTCAGAGAGCACAATACAGAAAACACCCCAAAACACACACAATATGACACCACGTCATAAATATTTGGAAAGGTATCTCTGGAGCGCCCATTCTGTCCAAAAAGCGCCCGGATCAGATGAGGCTAGCCCAAGTTGGATGGAAGTACAAAGTTCAGCGGGACGTGGCTAGCCTCTTTCCTCAGAATTGTCCCGATCAGGGATTGAAACATTGACTTTGTTATACAGTATTGTAATTACTTCTATATGAAGAAATAAAGACACTTTCCAGAATACCATGAGTGCAGATACCCTGTCACTATTGTGCATTTAAAGCCATTATGTGGAAAGTGTATAAGTTATTTTAGGCACAAGTACAAGGTTATTTCACTGACTAAATAAATAGTCTTTTTTTCAAAGTGATTCA